GCGTGTTTGTGTGTGTGCGTGCCGCCCCTATCTCACAGTTTATCCCGGCAATTCAATAAATTGCATTCAGTAAGTGGCTACACTCCACTCACAGTGAAGGGCTCTCTCGCCGCCGTTTATGTTGAAATCCCTTTCCCACATGACGGGGCTGAGGTCGATGTATAGACGAGTGCTTCTATCGCTTACGGAATGAGGGAACATCTCGCTATCCTGATTGTATTTCTTGCCGGGGGGCGCGGGAGGTGGCAGGAGGTGGCGGGATGCTGTAAACATTCATCTTGCTCAGTAGTTTTTGTTGTTTGCTTTAAACTGAAACAATTTGTTTTATGTAAATGGTATTGATAAAAACATAAACAAAAATGTATGTAGAATTGAAGATGTGGTAAAATTACTTATACCATGTAGGTATACATTTTTAACTTAAATAATTAAAATGTTACATGTTTAATTTACTTCTTGGCTCTACCGTCAGTATAATCAGTGTTAATCTGACTCCAATATTCTGGTCACGGAACAGTTGCTAAGTTAGAGTTAATCCCTTGGCTTGGGACACGCGCCTCGTCCGCGAGAGGGCGCTGTCAGGGTCACAAGTTGAAGGAGGCCAAACAATGCAAGGATTAGTGTGAGTTTCAGAACCAAATCAAGAAAATGCTACAATTCCTTCAATAAATTAAAAAAAATATAACTTAAAAAGTCTATCTCAAAGTGCAAATTTTAAAACGTTCCCTTTACTTTGTGTGCAAATTATTACTTTAAACTGTAAAGTTATGTTTGTATTATAAAAAAAAATACCACAAGTGATAGTTGTATGCCGCACAATTTATCCCGCGCTCCCCCAAGGGGCGCCCCCGGTTACACTGCTATTTTACGGTCCCTGGTGGACTACAATACGATTATACAAAAACTGCTTATTATCTTGCGAAGAATTACTAATCATTTCTTACTGACTGTAACCCAAATAGTGATATGTGACTTTGAAAATCCTTCTATAAAGTAATAATAAAAGTTAGTGCCAGAGCTAACAGGGAAGGGGGAGGGACAAGCATCGAATACAAACTCCGAAGGGTACGTAATAGGGAATGACAAACTAGATTAGATGCGTGAGTCCGACCCAAGCGGGTGGAAATCCTATTTAAGACGTCAGACGATTCCTGGACTTTTTGTAGAATTTGATTTACTTTTGTCTTTATTTTCAAACCTTATTTTATTAAGTTCAAACATCTGCACATACAACATGGGCTTGCGGTAGTAGTGCAGGATTTTAGACAAAAGACGATGACACATTGGGTAGTCAAGTGATAGCAAGTGACAATTTATATGAAGGGCTCTATAAGTCTGCGGCGGCAGGAGGACTTCGGAGAGGTCCCGAGGGACGCCGAGAGACGACGAGGGCGGTCGAGGGACGTTGATGGCAATGGACGAGCGTTCAATCACTGTCGTCCGCATTCCCTACAGAACTGAAATGTTATTAATGAAATATAAGAAACTTCTAAATTTTGTTTCTTCACTTATTCAATCTTTTCGTGTTGGCGAGATATCAAGAAAAGTACAAATTCTTAAATTTAAACAGTCTATACTTTTATTAATAGTAATTAATGAATACCTCATTTTGACATGTATTCTAAACTAGCTGTCCCGTACGGCTTCATCTGCATGAAATTATAAAAACTTTCTATATTATTTTATTGTTGCGCATATTACAACGAAGACCTTTGAGACACGACACGACACACGACACATTTGATAACAATTATCGTTACCATAATAACCTTACTTCCTTAGTGTTGGCAGCTTGTAGTTTATAGTCCCTTTCCCATATGAAGGTTTTTTTTTTCAATTTATTTAGTTCCTAAGTTTAATAGCGTGAAAATGTATAGCCGTAAGCGTAGGACGCTTTATCAAAGAAAGGATTTTTCAAAAATACACTGTGATTGCTGACATTCTGTGCCACGAAATAGTGTGAGTTTACGCTTTATTATATTATATTATATTATATTAGTATAGATTATACTATAAAATACAACTTTACAATAAAAACCTGGATTGATTATATCTAAAAGAAGATAAAATTTAAATTGAACATACCGACGAATAGTCATTTCAGCTTTTGACTTGTAAGCCATAAAGTGAGATAGGGTGTAAGCATGTGGGGAGAATTATTATTATTTATATGCGAGCAAATCCGAGCGGACCACTGACTGCTGACTGCGGCCCCAAGTGTGTGGTAAAGCCAAGTTGACACTTGACCAGTTGCTCAAGTGTCACATTACGTAGGGTGCTGCGGATACACTTTGTTTATTGCTTGTCGAAGTGTGATTGTGTTGACTGTAATTAGAAGTGTTTTTAAAAAGATGTTAATGTAGAAGAAAAAGTAGGAAACATAAATGGCTTATTTATTTTATGATTTTAGAATATTCTGTAAGTGCATTTTAAAACAGTAAGGACGGATTTTTAGTTCCAATTCGTTGCGAACTACAAGCACTCCAGTACAAGTGGCATCAACTCGACTCAACTTTGTCAACTAGTTTACTCAGATTTTTGTGAAAATATTTTTTTTAAAATCATTGTAATTGTTGACATAGATCAGTTAAAAAATGTCATAATAAAATTTTAATTACAAAGCACAAGATTATTACTTAGAAAAGACTTTTATAAAAGTAGTTAGTCTGATTTTCTTCAAATCTAGATTTAATTTGGCAACGTGGTTTTTGAACACAAATTCTTATAAAAAGTATATAAGTAGAACATGAAAGTTGTGGATTTAAATGGTCGTGTTTTAAAGCAGTTTGATTCAATGCAATGTAGTAAGGTATCCTGCACTGCAGGCTGTAGGCTGCAGACTGCAGGCTGCACCAGACGCGCTACTGTGTGTAAGCCATCTCTGCAAATTGTTTTATTATCTACAGCAAGTTGTTTCAACCTTTTTGTGAAATATTAGAGGAAAATGCTAAGTATGAAAATGTTCTTGTATGAAGTCTCTTACGGTTGTTATCTCTGAATTTTTCAGAAATATTTTTTTTTCTCGCAAAGTCGTAAGTGTGAAAATAAAAAATGTAACGGGTGTAAATTATTGAATCGTTTTGCACGATTAAAGTAACTGGTAACTAATAATTTTGAGTACTGGCTGAATGTACATCGCGCATGATAGATGTCAAGACGACGATATAATGACTGATGACAGTTGTCTTTGAATGGTGGCAAAGATGCGCTTTGTTATTATAAAACCAATTGGTTAATCTCTGTTGTAAATGTTTGCAATTCGATTAGCGTGTTGTGAAGTTATCAATTAAATTAAGATGGTGGTAAACTAAGGATAGTGTTTTGTTTCTAATTTTACGCGATTGTTTTCATTATCTCCGACATATGCCCTGTTTTTGTTCCTACGTAACCGTGTCCGAAATTTGGACGACTCGACCAACGCAACGAAAGAACAACCGAAAAATACAAAACATTAACCACAATGAAAACGCAAAGAACAGCCACCAAAACACCTATCACCTAAGAGCCCTCGACCAGCGGGAGACCTACCCTGTGGCGAGACGTTAGTAATATCGTGCTTTAGGATTAGACGATCTCGCCACAGCGCCATCTATTAGGGCGAAGCGGAAACGACGCCAACATGCCCACAATGGAGGATCGTTACCGTGCATATGATCTGCCTTCGGAATTGAATTCTCTAAACCGTTCGTTTACTTTGACAAATATAATAAAAGACATAACTTACGTTACTAACAGATAAATTACCTTTCTAACGGTGAAAGAATTTTTAAAATCGGCCTAGTAATTTTTGAGTTATTTCAATACATACAAAATACAAATATAAAGTATTAATATAAACTATATTAGTTAATTATAAAGTACAATTCTCTTGTATGAGAAACAAATAAATTAGGGTTATACGTATTATTGTTCGGGTATACTTTGTTTACTCTGACTGCATCTCAGTTGCAGCCTAGTTGAGAGATGCGGGTTTACTTGCAGACGAGTTTCAATAGAGAACTGATCTGTTTATTTCAAAACTTCTTGTGTCGTTTAACAAGTACTATTTTTTATGTAACAGTTGCTTATTTTAAACATAAGAAATATTTATTACTTGAAATATTATCGGTAAGAAATTATTAAGTGAATAAAGTGACTTTAAAAGCTTTTCGATAAAAAATCGTCTTATCGGAATCGTATTAGAATCTAATAACATAGTAAAATTCTGTCGCGTTGACTAACGATTGCCTGCCTCAATAAATAGCAGACAATTTGAGACACGTGCCCTTCTCCCCCTCCCCTCGCCCACCGTGCCGCGCCCCGCGACCCCTTCACCCCCTCACACATACGCAAACACGCACACGTGTAGCAACTTTCGGTCCAAATACAATCGTTCCTTATCTAGGGTTGTCTATTTATGAAAAGTACTGGACCATATTTTATATTAAAGTAAAAATCATCTTATCATGTCGTTATAACATAATTATGGATTAGAAGCAATCGGTAACATACTCACATTGGCTATATTAATATTAATACACCATGAATTTATTATTAGAGTTAACTAAATAATTTTTGTGATAACCCTATTTTAGTGCCTCGTATAGAGGGGCGGGGGGCGGTGGGTCGCGGGGAGGCAGGGCTGGGCTCGATACTCCGCCGGCTCTAGACAACCGCTTTGAGCGCGTCTTGACTCTTTTTGGTCCGACCTCCCCACACGAGCGTTAACGTTTCTTTGCCAATAAACACATACTCATCATATTTGTTTTTTCCTCGTTATCTGCTTTCTAAATGGAGTTTTTACGGCGATGTGCGTACATATGTTGTATCTCCTTTGTGTCGATCTTTTATGTAACTAACAATATAGTTGCCTATTATGTAGCGTCCATCTCAAAGGAAAGTAAAGTACAGTGAAACAAAAGCAAATATTAAAACTCTGATGTTTTTTTCGTCAGTTGTAATTATAAAAACTTGACTTTTGGATGTTGTTATTTTGACAGTTTTAATTTGTTTGTTTACAGATGCAACGTCCTTGGAGATGAGCTCCGGGTGCACCGCCCGTCCCGCCCCGCCTCTTTCCGTCTCGCTCGCACTCCCCGCGGCGCGCTCGCGCCCTCTCCCTCCCGCGTCATGCCGCACGCGCACCGGCATCGCCTCCTCTCAACACTGCACTTCTTACTCCTCACTGGTAAGGTTTTAACATTTTTACTCTTTAGAAAAGTACAACATGCGTACAGTCGGGGAAACTGGCGGTATCCAACCTCAAAAGGTACAATCGTTTGAACATAAATCCACAGAACGTTTATAAAGGTCCGAAGTAAAGTCGGTTGGTGATACACGGCTAGGTATGCTATTTATTTAGTTATTTGCAGAAAGAGGCGTAGTTTGTCTCGTTGCAATGAAGAAGGCAATTATTCTTTTATTGAAATACCGCGAATTTCCGCGACTGTACATTCTACGAGACATTTCATTATTATTAACACCTTGACATAATAGTTTCGACTACTGCGCAATCGAGTTTAATAAATGTAAACAATAAACGAAAATCGTAAAGTTCAATACAGCACAGTATCAGCACGGTCGCGGCGTCAAATTTTACGCGGTGTCGAATAAATAGTGCGCCATAAATCTCTTACCCTCGGCCTCGGTCATTATCGGCTCGGCTTCCGCTGCAATATCCCGACCGCGGCTCGTTTGTCAGACGCGGAGTTTTCATAATAATACCCAGTTTATTACTGGAAGAGAGTGATCTGTTGCACTGCACTTTGCTGATAACTGACTTCAGTTTTTCGTTAAAATGGCGAAGCTGAAATGTGTCAAAATAATTGGCCATTAATTGGCAGTGTTAAATGTGAAGGAAAACTTTTCTCCGTGGTGACATAAAGCGGTTGTCGCAGGCCGGAGTGCCGGTGGGGGGACTCCGACGGGAAGTAGCCCGAGGTGGTGTAGGAATGCTCAATAGGGTGTTTGTTTGTTGAAGCGCCGGCAGTCGGCAGTCACGGAACTAATTACGTGGCTTGTGGACGTGATCCGAAGCGATGCAAGAAGTGAGGGAATTAGAGGAACAGTCATCCTTGTTGATATTGTCGTGAAAATTTAATGAATTTTATCTTAAAACTTTGTTTTGGTGGCAGATAAAATCGTCCCACCAGTTCCCTACGTCTGAGCTTAAATGATTTAATTGTAACGGTCGATTGCTATAAAATGCGGTCTGAATGTTTTGTACAGTCGCCGCGGGACCGACAATAACCATAAATGTCGTAACATCGACCTGCGTTCGTTTGATATCATGACCTTTTACATTTCAACTGCTTTACTAAAGTAGAATTTAACAATATTTGCAGCGTTTAAACGTTCTATCCACATATTATATTTTAATAAATAAATTGCTTGCTCCTTCTAGCTTAAATACGAAAAAACACTGATATAGTGCTTCAAAATATTGTTACAACTTAACATTTCATAATATTAATTGCGATAAATTATATGGAATATTCTATTCTTGTCAAGAGTCTAGTCAAATTCGTGGTATTAGTTCTGTCTGCAAAACTTTTCTTAACTTTGTCATTGTCTACAACTGTTCAAATTTGTCGCTTTGTCTCTTTTCTTCCTATATTGTCCTCTTTGTCTCACTCACCTCGACACTACGTCATTGTTTCTCCGGCTCTTTCTCTCACAATGACCTCCTTGTCTAACTCTCCTGCATTTCCTCGAGAATGTAAGTTGTGTAAAAGTTTACAATTGCTGCACACATGTAGTTTTGTTCTTTTGTTTTAAACTTGTCGCGGCCGAGGAACTCTCCGCACGATTTTCTATTGTACCTGCACATAGTTGTTTTCATACAAGTTTTAAACTCGACATCTTTTGATACACTAGTTAGCCTTACTGTTGCAATTGTCTAAGTTAGAAAACTTAAACGTAGTATGACTAGGAACAAATTGTGAACGAATATTTTATATTTTAATTCATGATTTAAAATGTAAAAGCAATTTTATGTTCATGTTTTCTTGAACTACTGACGTTACTAACAAATTGTCAGTAACCAACCCCTCGCGGGCGGTAAAATTTCCATCCTTACAAAACTTTTTCGCACGTTATCCATCAAAAATATGTAAAAGTGCGGCATAGAGAAGATATTTTTATCACACGGCTGTAAGATGACGGGAGGTTTTCGTTGAGGAAAATATCAAATCAACCTCCGACCTGAATTTCGTAAGGAATAAGGTCACCTGTCAGTCCGTCACGCAGCCAATCTGTACTGGATATATGTAACAAAAATGGAAGTTGGTTACGTGACCTCCTTAACATAATAACAATAGAATAAAACTCGACAATAAATAAAGTTTTATCAGTTACATTGAGTCAAGCTATTAGGTTTTGATCTTTACAGAATGTCATAAACATTGATTTTAGTACGTTCTGCAAATAAAATAAATAATAAGTATTTTGTAAGAAAAATCAAGAAAGGAAAATGTAGAAAATTTGGACAATAAATAATATATGGCTGGTTTCCGAACTACTTTTAACCATTCGATAATGGATATAGTTCGATAAAGTTATAAAATAAGGTTCAGAACTACTTAACTTGAATTTTTCCGTTATAGGTAGTATAGGATGGGATTGATAGGTTAAAACTAAAACAAACGAATCATTAGGTAATGATAAAATAAATAGAAACTTCAGAAACCCAGCATTAGTCACACTTCTCTTCTAACGTATAAGCTCGTAGCTATTTAACCTAATCTCAGTGCACAGAGCAGCTAAGTGCGGTCTGCGCCCTCTGCGTGTAGCTACGCTGTGTTGAGTGGCCACTTATGTGAGTAGCCACATGCGACCTCCTTGTGGTCACTCCACTTACTCGAGAATCTCTTTTCTCGCTCTCAGGATAATGATAGCTCTAAATATTTTATGTTCTCATTATAGCTTTTATATTGTTTATCTATAATTAGATTTAAAAACATAAAACAATGCAATATAAAGCTCGGCACGCAAGTTCCAGTAAATTACTGCTTTCTAGATCACTTATAATTTAAAGAAAAGGTGAGTCCAATTAAAAAATAAAATCATTAAATACCTTCGTCCCTTCGTTCCACATTAAGCCGTTTGTTCTAACTGCGGTCGCTGCCTGCGCTTGCGGGATAATGTATTCTGCGTAACGTGAATTACATGATTGGTGTTTAATTAAGTAGAGATGATCCCGTGATTAATGGCGGCTTGTTCGCGTGAGTGACTTGATGTATGTCGCCACGCCGGCTCGGGGACACGGCCGCACGGGGACACGGCCGAGGGGGCACGGTCGCACGGGGGCACGGCATGGGGGCATGGGCGCACTGCCGGTTTTCCGCCTGTCGCTGTTAATGTACCGTCAGCTTTAAGAGCAATCTTACTTAAAGATAATTGCACTAATTTCATTACTTAATAACCTTAGAAGGGAATTTTAACACATAGCGTTGTTTTAGAGGAATTAATTTTATTCAAACTGTTTAAAATGTAAAATAAAATAAAGAATAATTAATTTACTAAATAATAATTTATAAAATAATAAACTACCAATAGACAAGACATAATTGTCGGACGCCTGTGGCAACCCTGGCTTCCGACTCCCACTCACTCAACGAACGACATCAAGGAAACAACCGAAAACTGCGGACGGCCGTCCGCCGTTAACAAAATCGTGTATTTGTACGTATTTCGTCCCCCTGCTACAATTTAAACGAAAACTAATAAGAATCAAAAACACAAACGAAATCCTATTAAGTTTTAATTCACAACAATATTAAAAAAAAGAATCTCGTAGCCGTAGATCCTTTGTAGCTGCGTAGCTACGACATTGTCGTAGTCAACAATTGATTGACACTATGACATAGTAATATTCCCTGTAAACGATGAAACAACAGCCGCTGTGAGTCTCAAAGTTCCCGCGTTGAGTATTGTTATAGTGCTAACTGAGCAGTTTTCCTCCTGCAACCACCCTTCAACCCTAATTTGCTCAACAGAGTTGTAAACTTTTTACTCGGAAAAGCTAATTGATATGTAAATAATTAGATTATATTAGTTTCTTTCATCATCAACATGCCTTTATCCCTTAAGGAGGGTCGGCACAGTATGTGCTGCTCTTCCATACATCTCTATCAGCCGTCATATCTGAATCCACTCCTTTCTTAAACATATCCTCTTTCACACAATCCATCCATACTTCTTCGGTCTTCCTCTTCCTTTGTAGCCACCCACATCCATTCTTAACACTTTCTTGATTATGTCCTCATCGGTTCGTCCCATAACATGTCAATACCACGCTAACCTTTTGCTTCTCAATTTCTCCACCACTGGCGCTACTTTCAAACTTCCTCTAATGTACACATTCTTAACTTTATCCATTCTTGTCACACCACACATTCATCTTAACATACGAATCTCAGCCACATGCAATCTCCTTTCATCCATACAATACGACAGTTCTTATGATGGACTTGTAGATCTGTTCCTTAAGCTTAAGAGGCATTCTTGGACCACAAGTCACAGCAGTAACCTGTCGCCTTTTAATCCAACCTGCATTTCTTTAAATGTACTAAATACAGCAAATTATATTTACAGCTTACTGAACTACAAAATATACACTTTTCCACAAATACAATGAATGTACATGTATATACTGAAATAGACGCAGACAAAACACTTTTATAGTATTGAAATACTAAAAGAATTGTGTTGGATTGATGGCAACACAAAGTGGCCGCGAGAGGGCGCGAGGGCGCGAGGGCGCGAGGGGGAGGGCAGACTTAGTGAGAGCTATTCCGTAGCTCTGATTGCCGAACGTTAAATTTTGTTTGATTAAATTCTCAACACAGATAAATTCGATCAGAATTCCTAAAGAGAAAAAGAGCCCCCATTCCCGATGCCATCTAAACAAGAATTTATACCGCCTCAAATGAGACTCGTTTAGTGCCCCCTCCCCCGCCCCCGCCCTTGCCCCCGCCGCGCAACGTCCCGCCAAGCTCCATTCCAAGCGATTTTATTGCAAGATATTCGGGATATGTTCGCACTGAACGCCCTTGTCGTGGGAATTTTAATACTATTTCAATGGGTTTAGGTTCAGATTCGTTTGTCTTGATATATCGGATTTGGCAGTATCGCGCCCATCTCCGGCTAATCCGCACAATCAACAGAATTCCGTCCCCCTCCCCCCTG